ATTTAAAAATCTGGTTTTTAAATTGCGATTTGACCTCAAAATTCAAGATGCGATTCTCAGGTTGTTTTCAACAGAATGTTTCCCAGTTGGTTAAATACATGGGTGAAATCATATGGAAGTCACACGCAGATTTTCAAGCATTTTCAACGATCCCTTGGGAATCTTCCCTTCCTTCTTTTAACTTGCATCGCCACCAATCACAAGTTATGCTTCTCTCAAACATCACAGCACCTCAACCTGCTAGTGCAACCTGCTGGTCTACCCAAGATGGTGTCACAGGTTGCCGTGTGTGGCCTGACTTACACATAGCTGTTGACAGTCTGTCAAGTGTGTAACTTTGGGCATTATCTTCCCACCTCTCTCACCAGTTTCCTCTCCCACCTCTCTGGTCTACACTGAAATCTGGTAGACATATAATTGATATCCAGTGCTTGGGAAGGAGAAGGGCAACAAAGGAGGTGGACATGTCTGGGGCTATCACATCCCCTTCTGTCCTGAAGCCCTCCCAGGGCTATATTACATCATGATCTAGCACAGCATTGTGCACATAGGGGAGGGGCGTGTTTCTGTCTTCCATCTCAACCTATACTGCAGGGGCAAGGTAGCACATCTGGGATGGAAGTCAACCACATTTTTACTCAGAGCAAACCAAATGACATTATGAGCATGACTAAGTTAGGTGCGTTAATTCCAGTGGGTCTACTAGGAGTAGAACTTAGTTAAATGCTACCTCCATGGTCCTTCTGTCCCTCATCTAGGGCAGGTTACTACCACCATAGGGACGTGGGTGGCGCTGTAAGTTAAACCACAGAGCCTAGGGCTTGCTGATCAGAAGGTCGGCGGTTCAAATTCCCACGACAGGGTGAGTTCCCGTTGTTCGGTCCCAGCTCCTGCCAACCTAGCACTTCGAAAGCACGTCAAAGTGCAAGTAGATAAATAAGTATCACTCCAGCGGGAAGGCAAACGGTGTTTCCGTGTGCTGCTCTGGTTCGCCAGAAGCGGCTTAGTCATGCTGGCCACATGACCTGGAAACTGTACACCGGCTCCCTCGGCCAATAATGCGAGATGAGCGCTGCAACCCCAGAGTCGTCCATGACTAGACCTAATGGGCAGGGGTCCCTTTACCTTTACTACCACCATATACTTCACTTGAGCGGAGCGTACAACCATTTGCCCTACATTACGGAATTAGAGACAAGGCACCATGTTATGGACTGCAGGGAATACTACAGAACCTATGTGGAAGTGCATAGGAGAGCAGATGCGATCACTGCTTTTCCATAACTCCAAAGTTCTGACCCGTCAATAGCAGCAATAAGAACTTAGGAACTGGATGCCGTGTCTATGCCAGGACTGGTGCACCAAACCTGGAATGGACAGCGGACCAACTACATTGCACCTAGATTGGAGAGTGGATCCATCTGATTCATCACTAGCTGCTTCAGCACTGTAGCACAATGGGAAAGTTTTATTGTTGGCCGATTCAGACTCAGTTGGGAGTTGGGCTCTCAAATTACACTACAGATAGAGCTCTGATATGTGCCCTCCTCTGCAACCACGTACATAGCATAATGCTTAATCCTGCCCCAGGGAAGGCAAAAAAAAGTACTATACATCTGCTTAAATCATAAATCACCAGTATCAGAATGATGAATGGCACTGTGAATATACAGGAACATAACATGGATTTCTTCTTCTTCGTGCCTTTGGCTATTAAGATTGATACTTTCATGAATGCAGACTGTTCCACCTTTGCCCAGGGCTACGAATAGTCTGCACATTCATCCTCAAAATACCAAATAAAAATTCCTACAATTCTGCATCTACTGAATTCAAATTCTGCATGAATAAATTATGTAACCAATATAATTTACACAAAGGTGCATAACTTTCACCTATTTTGCAAAACTGCAATGTTTACTGTTTTATATAATTTATTCTGATTTGATAGTCATGGGAATTGAAAGAACTATACCGGACATGAGTTCTAACTCCACAACCACTGGAAATCTTGTTTAGCCCAGTCCCATGACTAGCACATCACACTGTTTTTTGAAATTTCAGAAAGCACAGCTCACATGCTTCCAAGAACATATTCAAAACAATGAGAGCTAGAAACTTGCTATCTTTTAAAGAAAGAAATGAAAACTCTGGCTTAAAAAGAGCTTAATGCAGAAAGCTACTGCTATTCAAAGCAGACAATATTAGACTGGCTGGATCAATGATCTGCCTCGGTATAAGCTCCTTACGTTCAATGTATTACCAACAACCCTGTATCATGTGGATTTTGAAACACAACCCCTTTTCCTACAAATCAGAGTGAAAATGGAACCATTCAAACAGCTGCATGACCACTGCAGGGAGAATGGACAGAGGAGGGAACTATGTGTCACATGCTGTCAGCTTCCTGTCACTCTGACATCGTTGGAGTGGAATTTTGAAAAAAACAAACATACTTTCCACAATCAAGAAGGAAAAAAATCCCCCAGAAATCCCCAAGCATTCTCTACACAAGAAGCACCTCTAACGGCTCAGCCACAGTCTCTGAATCTCAACAGTCACATCCGATGTGTCAGAACCCTTTTATGAAAAGTCAAGAAGCAGAGAATCTCCTTGGAAAAGCCAGAGAAGGAAAGGCAACTTGACTTTGCAAAGATGACCACAGAAGTGTCCCTTTGTTCCCAAGAAACCCTTGGGGCCGTCCACTGGGATGTTCCATAGGAGTAAATGGGCGGCATGAACTCTGGTTCTAAAAATGGTCAAATTTCCACTGTTTAAGGAGCAATCGCAAATCCACTCTCTACTCTTCTGGCTTTAATTCTTTCGGAATGAATTCCTGCCTATCAGTTCTTCCATTGCAGCAATTAACACAGATCAACCCATTACCCAATCATTACACCGCACTTTGGGATAACTTCCCCAAACATATAATATGTACAAACAGGAGCATGGTCACAGTCCTGCGTTGATTTGGTTTCAACCTCCAGAAGCCTCTACTCAAAATTCTAATGCATGGAGATCACAACCACCGCCTTGCAGTCTTCCAAAAGGCAAAACTTATGCAGACAAAGACACAAATAAGAATACCGGTACTTAAAGAGGGTTAAGAGGTGAAATGATCAGGTGAATACGTTCCTTGAATTCACAGAAGTCACCCATTCACAAAGCTTGGCCTGGCACACTAAGCTTATCCTAGGCCTCCTGCATAAAAATGGAACATTTCCCCACTCAAAGCCCTTTTCAGCAGGTGTGGACAATTTATGGCTCTCCAGATTTGTTAGATTACCACTCACATAATCGTTGGCCATGCAGGGTTGGAGCTGATGGGAGTTAAGAGTCCCAAGAGCATCTGGAGGGCTAAACAGGTCAGCCACCTCTGCTCCAAGGGCGAGGGCGTATTATTATTAGTATTAAAATTTGTATACCGCCCTTCAGCTACAGATCTCATAAGGAGCACCATCCAGACCCTGCTTAGGAGGACCGTATTCTCTGCTCCTCTTTTCCTGATCCCTCTTCTTCTTCTTCCTTTCTTCCTGGGCAAAGCTTGGGCCACTAGCAGCTATCCAATCAGACACTAATTCCTTTCACCCACAAGTTAAGAGTGGCCTTTTCTGTGGACACAGTGGAGAGGCAAGAAGGTAGTCTTCCTCATAACTTTCCAGACCAGGTCCGCTTCCTTCCTTCTTCTAAGGACAAGATTTTAATCCCCACCAAACCTACATGCCCTCTGCAGGATGCATGCCAACAGCGTACAGTGATGCTGAGGGGCACCTGGGGTATTCCACATTCCTGCCAGTACCACTCCTCACAAAACTGGTTCACAACACTAGCAAACAAGGCCTCTCGGTTGATAAAGGGATCGTCCACAGGGTCCCGCAAGGAGAAACTGGACTGAGGGGGACGGGATATCAGAGGCCAACCAAGGAAAGATAAATGGTTCCAAGGAAATGGATGGCAAGCGCGGGGGGGGGGCATGCAGCTCCATTAGGGTAGCTGAGGGTAGCAAGTTGATGCTATGGTTCTACTGCAGAAGGATCCTAATGCATGGGAGCAGGAATCCAGTCTTAGTGGGGGTTTGAAGATTTCGAAGGAATTGGGGGATATAGATGCTTGAAACGCAGCTGAAAAGGAAGTGGGAAGAGCGAACCCACTGGAACAAAAATGGGACCTCAGATTGTGGAGTGGAGTGATCACAGTGTGGAAGAGGTCAAGACAGATAGGCAAGAGGATCTGGAGAAGAAGGCACTTCAACTGGGGATCAGGCATGCTATGGGTCAGAATGTGGAGATGGAGAAATGATGTGGAAGAGGACTGAGGATCCCTGGACCTTGGATTCCTGGCCCATTGCGATGGGCCAAGATAACGCTGAAGTTCCCAGTGTGAGCTGACTGCCCTACAAGGGAGATCCACTCAGAATAGTGCCACAAAAGGGGGGGATCTGTCAGAATCATGGGTTAATAGACTCTAAGAAGATAGATAGGATTTATAAAGCTAAGACCTGTTGAGGGATCTAGCGAAAACGAACGGAGAGCGGGGTGAAAGAGAGATGGAAAGAACTTCTGGGAACTCTTGCGGTGAAGAAGAAGGGGAGCTACCGGAACATCTCAGCAACCGCGAGTAATCTGTCCTGCGGAGGAATCGACCAGAGAGCCCCGGTCAGGGTGGGAGATCTGCAGACCCCAGCAAGGGGAGATTCTGGATGCAACCACCAGGGCTGCAAACCCCGCGGAAGGCGGGGGGGGGGGAGAGAGATCGAGAGAATGGTGTCCCATATCTGAGGGGGCCAGGAAAAGTGTCTGGAAAAGTTGGAGAGGGAGGAGAGACTGTTCCTATCGAGAGGGCGGGTAGGAATCCCTCCCGCAGCGAGGATGGACTAGGGAGATTTTTCAATCGAGGAGAGCCTTGCAACGGAATCTACCCGCGGCGGCGTCGAAAAGGGGATGCGAGGGATCGACGAGGGGATCGGAGCGGGAGCGGGGTAAGGAAGAGGGATCTCTCACCAGCACCATCGCGAATCTCTCCTCCAGCTCCCCCTGGTCCGGCATGGGCACTTTCCCCGGCGGGGGCGGCAGCAGCCCGGAGCCCCCGCCCGGCTCCCCGCTCTCGGCGTTCCCCATCCCCGGCGGCTCCCGGGGAGGCGGGGACGGCAGAGCCCTCCTTGGGTGCCCGTCGAGAGTACGGAGCCGCCGTGGCCAGGCGGCGGCGGCAGCCTCCCACCAGTCCCTCCCTCGCTGCCCGGCCGGGGACGGGACGCGGCCGTCGGCGCCGCCCCCGGCACCGCCCGCCTGCAGACATCGCCCGCCCAGCGGACGGCGAGCGACGGCGGCGCCTGCCTTCCTCCCCGCCTGCGGGGCTCCCGGGTGAGGCCCGCGACACGCGCAAGCCCGCTCGTGGGGACGGAGCAGCCCAGTAAACATCTACCCTAATGATGTGCCCCCCCCACCCCATCCCTGGTTCTCAAGGCCCAGCCCTGTGCGCGCGCGCTTGTCTCAAGCCCCCGTTTTCTCCGCGGGGCTCAGAAATGCAAGCCCTGGAAAGCAAAACAGGCAACGCTGAACAATAAGTTGCAAGATCGTGCGCGCGCGCGCGTTTTAAACTTGGCCCAAAGAGTCCGCTGCTGTGTTTTAAATTCAGAAAGCAATGTGTGCCTCCTTGAGAATCCCAGTCAATGCATATGAGAATACACTTTTTTTGCTTGAGAGCAACCAAGTTCCGCCGTGTTTACTCGGGAGTAAGACTCGTTGAATTCATCGGGGCTTTTCTTACGCCCAAGTAAGTGCGCACGTAAAACTGCAGCATTTTTTTGCAGGAAAAGTGAGTTCTCTCTTCCCCGCCCCGATCGCCCGGGATCTTACGCGCTCTCCGCCCGCCTCCCCTAAAGTTCGTGCGCACGCCGTGGAGACACAAAGGGAGCCGTTACTCAGCCCTGCCCATCCCACTCCGAGACATCCGGCGCTACTTGCAGGGAAAGCAGCGGCTGCCCCCGCCTGGTCGAGCCCAGGATCGCCATAGACCTCGGATCGGCCATTTTTGGGGGATCACTTTGTCCAGGTTCGCTTGGAAGAAGCCGCGGAGAGTGCAAGCCTGGAAGGCGCGCAAAACAACCCGGTCCTCCAGAAGGGATAAATCATCCAGTTTAATGGGGTGCCATTGAAAGTTGTCCTGCCGGCGTGTTTTAAAGGGCGCTCAGCCTCGAGTGCCTGAACCCGTGACGGAAAAGTGTTTAGAGAAGCACACGTGTCGACAGAGATGCCCGCGCCCTGAGCAGCAGCAGCCCCGGCCCCTTCCCGTTCTAACCATGCACAGGGCGGGAGCCGGGCGTGGCCGACACGTGTCCTCCTGTGTCTGTTAGAACGTGTGCAGAGCCTGAGTTCCGGCGGAGACAGCTCGTCGAGCCTAGAACTCCATGCGCTTAAGGGGCCTGCAAGAGCACAGCTACAGAACAGCAATAGACGCTGCATTTAATGAATAGGTCGGGGGAGGGTAATACCCACTGGTGGTCACTTTCTGACGTGCATCCAGAATAGAGGACAGAAGGATACAATTTGCTCTGTCTCCATTCTACATATCAGAGGGGTTCAGCAAATCTTGACATGCTTCCTCAACAATCTGGTTTCAAGAAAGGCCTGGACACTCGCCAGCCAGCCACACTCCACCCCCCCCCCCCGCAAGGCCATTGTAGGAGCTGTTGTGCCTTTCGCTGGAAATTGGTGAGAGCAGCTTTCCCAACATGGTACAGTGATGGGAGGAAAATTCACACGTTTCTACCTGTTATGCAGCTGTTAAAGGTACAGGAGAAATTAACACTCCTGAGAGTCTCAAGTCTCTGGGCCTAAGCATTCAAAGTGGCCTTTAGCTTTTCCTGCTTGACAACTAAGGTTGTCATCATCATCATCATCATCATCATCATCATCATTATTATTATTATTATTATTATTATTATTATTATTATTATTATTATATCACTGCCTGCTCCAGTGTCTTTAACACCCGCTTGATCTTGCAGACATTGGCAGGTAATGCTGCTTAACTCTGTACCATGAAAAGTTTCACCCCTGATTCTGCAAATTACCTAAGCTGAATTTAAAAGCATAGGAGCAGGTTGAACCATTTCCCCCCTGCTCAGTTGGCAAGCTTTTCACCACTGGCCAGGGAATGCAGCTTCCTTCTTTAGTTTACAGTGGTGCCTAGCAAGACGAAATTAATTTGTTCCGCGAGTTTTGTCGTCTTGTGATTTTTTTTCATCTTGCAAAGCACGGTGTCGGGAAAGTTTTGGAAAAGCTTCAAAAATCACCAAAGTCTTTAAAAACCTCAAAAAAGGCTACCACACCGCGTGCTATGAGTTGCTCCTCGAAGTCAAGTCGCAACTGTATTAACAGTGTTAAGAAAAAGGAAACAAACTTGCAAGACGTTTCCGTCTTGTGAAGCAAGCCCATAGGGAAAATCATCTTGCGAAGCAGCTCAAAAAACAAAAAACCCTTTCGTCTAGTGAGTTTTTTGTCTTGCGAGGCATTTGTCTTGCGAGGTACCACTGTAATTCTTGTTCTGACCATCTATGCCCCAAAAAGATTTTTCTGTGTAACTCAGACGCTTACATGTCTCAACACTGCAAACTAAGTAGGAGGCTGACACTTTTGCTAAAATTAAGTCCTGGGTTCTGTATATGCATAAGAACAATGCAAAAAGCAACCTTTCTCAGCAGAGCTAGTTTTTCCTGTCTTTCCCTCCATTGCAGCCTAATGAAACTGGATCCATACACTGCATATATATGCTTGTTTATAACCCTATTGGCATTTGTGGAGAGCTGAGAGAGGAAGATCAACAGTGTCTATAAAACAGCCTCTGGCTATACAGACAATATCCCACTCTCCCACAAGATGTTGAGTGGTTTCCCAATTCTATCATGCTGCAGCAGAGGGAGAGAAGGAAAGAAGCAGGGCCATTTTATTGGCTTTGCTGAAAAACTAGCTGCCTTTGCCTCTCCCTCGCCTTGCAGTGACAGCACGTTCTACATACCGTAATTCTTGCTCGTTTGATGTGCCCAGCCTTTCTTCATTTGCTTTGGGAAAATCCCTCATACACAATAATAATAATAAATTTTATTTATATCCCGCCCTCCCCAGCCGAAGCTGGGCTCAGGGCGGCTAACAACAATCAAAATAATCCGACATTCTAACAAACTCCACAAGCTTTGCAGAGCAGGTAGTGGTTGCCCTAGAATACAATGGTGGATGCTCAAGGCTGGACTTATCCCTTGCACAGCACAAGTGAAGCGGGGTTGACAATGGTGGAAATCTATAAAGCGTGATGGGGAAACACATGTTAGTAAATGCAAATTTGTGCACAAAAAGCGCCCCAAATGTTTTATTTGCCTGAGAAAGAAAATCAAAATGGCACTCCCCACCAGGGCTCCAAATCCAGGATGGTGGGGCAGGGGGTGCAAATGGGCCATGGCCCCTTTTTGATATGCCCACTTTGGGTACTTCTGTTTTTAGTTGGCATTATTTGACAAAAGCTGGAATATATCTAAGGTTATGGCGTGCGAATTTCATTTTAAACATTATTTATTTAAAAACATATACTGTGGTTAGCAACACTTAAAGGTCCAGTCCCCTCATAATTTGAGTACTGACAACCACCCACACACTCACACATTAAGTTGAAGCACAGTCTACTGAGATGTTTCCCAAAGGAAGCATATTGTGGATTGTGCCTCCATCAGCCAGGCCGGTCTGCCTCCCACTCTGCCATCCTTCATGGAGCCCAAAATGGGCCACCTCAACTTAAGGGTAGGAATGCACACCTGCACATTCAACAGACATTCACTGTGGAGCTACTATTGGCTGTGGCTTCATGGTGCATGCCTGCAGTGTGCTTGCAAATACCAGGGTACATGCATCAAATAAAGCATGAGCTAGGTCCCTGGGACCAGGCTGAAGTGGAATGGTGGGCTTTCACATCTATTTATTTCACATTTATTTATCCAATGGATGCCCTATTATTCTGGCTGTAAGCAAATGTTACTTAAAAAAAAAATGTAGGCAAACATTTGATTCATAAATCAGCTAATCTGCAGTACTTGTATGGTCCAGCCGATGGGCAGGTAAACTAAGGCCTGGGGGCCAGATCCAAAATCGCCTTCTAAATTTGGCCTTCAGACGGTCCGGGAATCAGCATGTTTTTACATGGGTAGAATGTGTCCTTTTATTTAAAATGTATCTCTGGGTTATTTGTGGGGCCTGCCTGGTGTTTTTACATGAGTAGAATGTGTCCTTTTATTTTAAAATGCATCTCTGGGTTATTTGTGGGGCATAGGAATTCGTTCATTCCCTCCCCCAAAAAATATAGTCCGGCCCCCCACAAGGTCTGAGGAACATTAGACTGGCCCCCTGCTGAAAAAGTTTGCTGACCCCTGGTCCAGCCCTAGCCATATTTACTTGGAAATGACATTTGACTGTGTCTGACGGGACTTACATACTCATAAATATTCTTAGGACTGCAGTTGGATAATCCAGATTTTGAGCTAAATTGTTTAGTTTAGGCTTGGACTGAAATCCTATTGGAAGCAAGCCCCACTGAACACAAAGAGACTTACTTCTGAGTAAACATTTATAGGCTTAAGAGACTTTACAGACATGCTTGATGAACAATACGGTTTAGCTGGGGTAGAGGATAATTTGAGTTTCAGTTCTGTGGCAGTCACCCAAAACACATTGGGGTGTATGTTTACCATTTTAACATATGGACTCATTTAAGCATATGGACTAGTAATATTGATTGGCCAGCAAAAACAATATAAAAGATGAGAATGCAAAGTACAAAATAAAACAAAAACCAATAACCCACCCTTTGGGCGTTTTATTGTATATCTATCTGACACCATTAAAGATTCATATGACAGCTGATACTATTGTAGTTTCATATATAAAACCGTATTTTTTGATGATGATTCCAATTTATAACCTTTTGAACGAGTGCTGCCATTGGACTCATTGCCTTCAATAACCAGCCTGCAGTGCGGCGTGGGATCAGGTGACATTCGGCAATGCCAAGGGTTGCAGCCCAGCGGAGACGGCATTGCAAGGAGGTGCGCATCTTCCCGCCTAGCGGGGCTCTCAGCCTGGAACTGAAGAAAAGCACCGGCGACCTCAGGTGCAGTGAGGCGCACTGGCCGCTAGATGGCACTCCACGCCATTGGATGCGCCGGGACGCCGTACGCACAGCCCAAATCAACCTCGCCGCTAGAGGCGCTGCTCAGCCCGCCCTGCGCTGCTCTCCTCGCGCTCCCGCCACGAGGGGGCCGCGTGCCACTTCTGGGGAAAGGGGAGACGACCGAGCTGTCGCAATCGGGCCGCAACCTACCAAGGGCGCTGCCTATTGGCCCGACTCCGGAAAACCAACGGACGTCGCGCCTCAGCGCCGCTTCTCATTG